CGCCCCTCGCACAGTGATTGCTGGACATGGGCACCAGCGACCCCCGTGACCCAAAATGGAATAAGCGGGTAAAGATAATGGATGGATGGATGGATGGATAGTTTACAACACAGTTAAAGGTCACAAAGAAGGATAAGGTTTGGAGATAAGTTATTTCTGATGCATGCTCAATAATCCAGGTAGACAAATCTAACAAAGTTAAGTCAGGTCCTCTGAACGGATGCTTCTTGTTGAAACGTTTTGTCTTTAATCCAAAAGTCTTCTTCAGTCTGAGGAGCAAACTCAGTCTTATAAATAGCACCTTCTCATAGTGGATCAACCAGATTAAAGTTTGGTTGGTTGTTTTTTGAACGTCTGGAGGACCTGACTTAACTTTTTTAGGTTTTCTACCTGGATTATTGAGCATGCATCAGGAAACCAGATTAAAGATTTTGTAAACTCAGTCATCCAGGTAGATAACAAAAATGGTTCAATCATGTCATCTGGACCTGTTTCTTTAAGTGAAGAAACGTTTTGTCCCCCATCCAGAGGACTTTGTCAATCTGTGGCCTGCCAGCCAGATCTGGTTGGCAGGCTGCAGACTGACGAAATCCTCTGGATTGGAGGGGGTGGGGGGTGGGGTGGGGGGTCATTTAAAGAAACAGGTCCAGATGACATGATTTAACCATTTTTGTTGATCATCCAGATGGCTGGTGACATCCAGAACTAGCTGTTCACATGTACTTTTTATGTATGTTTTAGATGATAAGATATTTGTGGAAGTAGTTTTAGAGGCCTTTTAAAAAGTGTATCAATGTACAAAGACTCCAAATGGAGTCTACAAGTGGTTTACTACAAGTAGTTTGTGCACAACAGCTGCATTGTTTGATATGTTCCAATATTTATTTGACAGTTTAAAATAGTAAATGAATCCCTAATTAGAATAACAGCTATAAAAACAAATTTTATACATGATTTAAACCGAACGGTGTCAGCGTGTCTGCACAATCTTGTTTCGTTCATTTTGTTTTCAATTATAAAGAAAAACTTAAATTTGTATGAATCATTTGTGAATGTCTATTGTCATTGTTGTCCACTGTTGTCATCACTCTTTGTTAAAATCCAGGTCTCTATTGTAAATGAGTCCCAGTGGCTCACTGGGACTAACCTGTTTAAATAAAGGTTGAATGAATGAATCTTCTTCACCAGTGTGCAAGTTTAAGGTCAAGTTTAATTATTTAGCACATTTGCTGAATAATTTAAAAATGTTGTAGGTCATTCTGTCTTGAGTTTTAAAGTAATACACCTACCTTATATTTCCATTTACATTTTAGTTACAGTGATGCTTTTTTTCTTAATAAGACCATATTTTCAGTATTTCAGTATGTTGTTGTTGTTGTTGCTGTTGTCCATTGTTGTCATCATTCTTTGTTGAAATCAGGTCTCTTGTAAATGAGTCCTCGAGACTCAATGGGATTTACTTGTCTAAATAAAGGTTGAATGAATTTCAAAGTCATTTTCTTATACAATCCAAAGATTTTAACTTGACTGGTTTAAGGTTTAAATACTTTTTAGATGCCAGAAATAATAATAAAACCAACATACAAACAGGAACAGAACAATATAAACCATGAATCTCTGAATTATAAAACTGTTTTGTTTTGCCTAAAGGACTTTAGCGTAGCAACATGTTGGAGCTTTAATTTGAAAATCCTCTACCGGATATAGTTTTTTTGGTCACGTGGGTCAGCTGCTGCTTTGTGGAGAAACTAACTGTAAGTGCACGTATCTCTTCAGAGCGACTCATTTCACTGGTTGACCCTTTGTTTGTCTTTTTTACTCGTTATTATTTGTTATAAATTCTTGGAAACATCAATTAGCATCGAGCACGCGGCCGCGGAGTTTTTCAAAATAAATTTGCTCTGAAAACTTTTACCATCCAGCTGAAGGCATGATTCGAGCTACAGTGATTTTTACTATAATAATAATAATAATAATAAAAACGTTTATATAGAGCAATCGTTGCAGATAATAAACTAATTTATTGACCTGATTGAAAAATGTTGGATTGTGTACCTGCATTATTGAGCATGGACTTTGTTCTAATTTATTGATCTTGTGATATAAATTGTTTAGCAAAAGAACAGTAGATCTAATCAAATAACAACTTAACACATGAGTAATAGCAATGGTAAAGCAATAATCATATTTCTTTAAACATTATCGTGTTATATATAAAAGCAACAAATGCTTATCTTCTAATTTGTAATGATCTCACTTAAACCTTCTTATTTTATGTGTTTATTTAGCAAACATGTCACTGAAGCATGCCCAGCCCAAGTTCTCCAAGATTCAGGTGTCTGAGATGGTGAAGAAGCTGTTCAACTTGACCCCACGAGAAATCCAATCTCTGCCCAGCTACGATGACCAGAACTTCTACGTGGCACCCATTGAGGGTGACGAGTACGTCCTAAAGATCATGAACTCGGAGGACAGTAAGAACACCAGCCTGGTCGAGGTGCAGACGTACGCCATGTCTTTTGTCCACCAGAATGGACTCCCGTCTCAAACAGCCGTTCCCACCAAGTCAGGACAGCTCATGAGTCTGGAAGAAATGGGTATGAAGCAAGAACTAATGTTTGAGGAACACGTTTTGTATTTAATGTTCATTCACTAAAGCAGGGAGAAGTTTGAATGAATCTGATTGAAAGTATAATATTATTGACGATAGTCAGAGCTGAAGGATTACCAGTCATCATCGTTATTCCAGACCATCAGATTGAGTTTATGTGTTCGAATAGCACTGACCCATCTGCATGATCACTGTTGTAACCTACACTCGTGGTTTGATTACTTCTCATAATGTCTACAGTTTAATGAGTTTGGTTGAGCTTTGCACATTTGCTCTTGTTTTATCTTTCACAGCAGCACTGATTCATGTCAGCACTTGTGCCTTCCTGGTTTTGGCGTTGTTGCTGTGTTGCCATCCAAATTAGATTTCGTTGCATCTCAAAAGAGTTAACGAAAATGACTTTACAGATTATCTCCAGATGGAGTTTGAATGTGTTTTTTGTCCTTGTCCACCCCTACATAGAACCAACACAGCACTTATATGTACAAAACTTTTAAGGGTTGTGTCTGGACAAGTCAAATCTACAGAATTTATGTGATGTAATTTAAATACAAAAATTTAAATATACATTTATTGCATTTGGTCATTTAACCTCAGTGTGGTGATGCATCATTATATTTTAATCCAGAGAAGTGTGTAAATCGCGTAATCAAATGTGATATGTCTTCATTCTTCTAAATTATTACAGTATTATGAGTAGTACATACTGTTATTACAGATTTACATTTTTGCCTTAAGGCTGGAGTCATACATACCGTATGTACTGGTACAACTCCAGCCTTAAGGCAAAACATGTAAATCTGTAGTTGAAATAACTGTGCTGGGTGTCACAGGTTCACATCCTCAGTTATATTAATATTCAAGTGTTCTAGTGACGAGAAATGTCTTCTTGAGTGAAACCAGAACACACTGGCTCTTACATGAGACTTAAGACCGGTGGTAATAGTAAAATTTGTATTTACTTTTGTCAGACTGTGGATACGGCTGTAAGAAGTACCTTGTGCGGCTGTTGACTTATGCACCAGGGGTGACCATCTCTAAGGTTCCTTTAACTCCTGAGTTATTATATGAAGTTGGCAAGATGGCCGCTAGAATGGACGAAATCTTTCAAAAGGTTTGAGACTTTTTCATTCACGTCAGTTTAGAAAAAACAAGTGATGTTATAGGCAAACATTGTTTTAATGGGAATGGTTATGTTTATGATTGTTTGTCTTTCTAATATTTTTAAAACGGTACACAACTGACAATGTTTATTCTCATTTTATGGTATTTAGCCTTTTTTTGTTGGTGCTTTTCAGATGGAACACCCAAATCTCAGCATTCTACAGAGGGATAAATTCTTATGGAGTCTGTCCAATGTTGTCTTTCTGGAGTCATACCTCAGTGTATTAGATGGCGATCCTCTACAGAAGATTGTGAAGTCTGTCATTCATCATTACAAGACCTCCGTGGAAACCAAACGGTCCAACTTTCGCAAATGTGAGTTTACTTTTACTGTATTTTCTGCCGTACACGTCTCACCGCCGTATAAGTCGCATCAGTCCAAATATGTCTAATAAAGTGGAAAAATATATAATTAAGTCGCTTTGCCGTGTAAGTCGCATCTATTATGCATCACTGCTGACCACCGGGAAACGTGGGCCGGCGTTGTGCCAAAAATCGATTTACTTACATATGGTGGCCGCGGGAGTGTGCACAGGAGGTCTTTAACAAGAATTTACCAATATTAACACTAAAAAGCAATTATTTGTTTGCTCGACATTATAGCAAAGGTGTGTCTCAGTTGA